CTTTTTGGTTTTTATAGTATAAATACAGAAATGATTTAATCCTAAGAAATTCTCTTTGTAATATTAGAATGATAAAAAATACATCAAGTCACCTCAATCACTAATAACTTTAGCACTAATAACATACGCACTCATAACCTTTGATATATTTTAATCTGTACAGAATTTGATGGTCTTAACTTTGACATTAATTTTCCTATTTCCTCATAATTACTTGTAAGGCTTGGATTTTACCAATGTGCAGTGGCATTGATGTTATTGTTCACAATTTTAAACTTCATTTTATTTACAAATTTGTAGAACACCAGTGGACCTGTACGTATAGAATTTTTAAATTTACTAATTTACTAGTATAATTTTTAACCCTGTATTAGTCAAATGCTATGAGATGAACTTTAAGTTAGAAGTATATCATTATTTCAGTGAAAAAATCTAGTTCATGTGTTACGAGTCACACTTTTATTTTGTATCAAAAGTGTAAAAACTACACAGGCACACGGCATCCCTAAACGGTGGATACAAGTTTATAAAATATGAAAAAATGGCTAAAAACAGTTTTACCTACATTTTTATCCAGAAATACTTCCTGTATTGAATCATTTAAAAATCTTAATGATAATTCTGCATATGCTACTTTTAGATTAAAAGTAAGTATTACATGGTTGGAATGTCATTTTAATGAAGACCAACCCTGAAACTTCATATTTTCTTGGTGCTATAAAATCTTTGGTGATGTAAAATTAGATCTTATGACTCTAGAACACTTAGATTTACAATACAATGTATGCAAATACACACCTGGATAATTGCTTTTAAGGCTGTTAGTGGTTTAGTATTTAACATTTTGTCACCAAAATAAATGCTAACATTTGTTATTTGAGTAAGAGTATAAAATAAATGTGTTACTTATGTTAAAATAAAAGCTAACATAAACCACTTTAATAATGATGTAAATAAAACAACCTTTTAAGGGTTTTCTAATGAGCAAAGTCTATTCTGTTGTTGAGGGAAAAAAAATCTAAGTTTTAAATGAATGCTAACAAAGGTGTTTTAATCTTTATTTTTCATGTTTATGATCTTGCTGCTCAAAAATATTTCCTTTATATTTCTTCCTTTGAACCACCTTGGTATCCCAGTTCCTGATTTTCTGAAAATACAGGAAAGTAAAAAGGCTTGGTGACTTTAATACTTATTCCAGAAGCCCAGGATGTCAAGGACTTCTGCGTTTTAATATGTACTTGTTACAAGTTCACCCAGAATTTTGGGGAAGGGAGAGGAGAGAGTCTCAAGGTGTAAGAAAATATTTTATATTTGTGGCTATATATTTTTAACGATACTTAAAAAGTAGCTTTAAGATTGGATTTTTCCTTAAACTGCTTGAATGTTTACTTTTCTTGGAATAAAGACAGCTTACTGATAATTACTTAATGAACTATTATTAACAGACTACTGACAGAGATATCCTTCCAACAATGTTTTTTAATTGTGGGAGGTGGAATGTTTGTTATAAATATTTAATTAACATTTGTGGAGGAAATTAAGATCGAGAACTTGTTCAGGAGATCCAAAGGCCTGGCCTGCAGGACATTCCGAGCTCCAGATTTCGGAAGGGCTGCCATCCCTCTGAAAGCAAGCAGTACTTTCCTCCCTAAAGTTAGTAATTAATAAAAATTAACTACCTGGAAATAATATATGAAACGTGGTCTTTAGAAAAGCCAAGCCCCATTTTTGTTTACAACAAGCATAAAACCAGACTTCTAATCCGCGGAGCCACAATCACCTATTGATTGCACGACATCTGTGCCCCTGTTTTTGGAAGCAGGGTTTTCTGCGGAGGCAGGGCTGAAAACCTGACCATGTCGGTGCCCCTGTGGACTACACAGCTGACCTGGCTCCCAGGAAGAAGTCTTGAAACCCACACCTTGGCTATCTCGTTTCTTACCCATGGATGGACCCAATTACAAGTCCCTCCTGTCTTCAGAAGTTATTTTCAATAATGCAATATGCGAAGAAGTGTCCATAGAACTGATATGGTACCTTCTATCACACAAAGGGTGAAATGCTTTGTGTGCCACCAAATAGAACCTCCTCCGCCCCAGGCCAACCCTGAGTAAGCCGCTGCGCCGGACGGACTCTGTTCCGCTGTGGAGCAGGACAATGACCTCAAAGACCAAAGCCCCTTAACCCCTTTCTTACCCCAGAGCTTCCCTCAGGATAAAGTCTCTTAAATACGCTAGACCTGGTGGTGGCGGTGGCGGTGGCAGCAGCAAGGCGGAGGTGGGGGTGGGGGTGTGCTTGCTGGATTGGTCCCGAGGGCGACCACTCAATCCTGAACCAAGTTGGAGACTCCTTCGTGAACAGAACAGTTGCCAACCGCAGACCGCGGAGCCCAGCCGGCGCACTGTCTGGGGATGGCGGCCCCCTGGGGATGAGGAGCGTGTGTGCGTGTGTGCGTGTGTAGTCTAGTGAGGAAAAGAAATGGGCACACTGTACAGCTAAACTAAAAAATCGCCCTCCTCCCCCCATTACAGGCTGCTTAGCAGCGCAGGCACAAGAGAAAGCTGATTTGTTTCCGCTCTCACTTCTCAAGTTCACACTCAAGTTCAACCCCTGATTCCCACAAGACGTCTGAATAGCCTGGCTCTTTTCTCAATCCATCCTTAAAGAGCAGCCACTGATATCGCAGGAGCGCAAGGTCTGCAGGAAATGCGCAGCTATAGCAGAGGAGAGACAGCAAGGGGTCAAAGAAGGAGATACCGGGAGAAGGAAGGAAGGACCCCGCCACCTTTGAAGCTTGCTTTTTCTCCAGGGCGTCCCACCAGGCCGCCTGAGAACAGCCTTAAGTTAGAACTTAAAGGCGCTTTGGGCAGCCTGGCAAGAGTGGCGCCCTCTAGAACGCGGGTGCAGGCTCAGGCTGGTTTCTCATAGTGAGCATGAGGCTAGAGCCCGACTCTCAACCCTTCAAGGTGCTTGAGTTTCCAAAGAAAGAACCGTGTGGGTCCCAGACTGCCGCTGGCAAACTGCTCCTTCAGGAGCAGTGCGATCCAGCCACATCCACTCCTGCCCAGCTCTCCTCTGCTTTCTACAATTTAAGGGGAGTGTGAGTGGCTATTATGCCCCAGGTCCTAGGACCCAGTCGGAGCTGAGGGGGTGCCTGGTTTCAGACCTTCGGAGCATAAGAACCCAGCATGAGAAGAGAGTTGGGGGGTGGGGAGAAGTAATGGAGGGACGAACTAGCAGTCCCAGACCCGAACAGAGGAAACTTAAAGGAGAGGGGCTGGTGGTGACATGGGACAGAAAAAAGACAAGAAAAGGAGAAGAAAAACATTGAAACTTGGTTTTTGGAAGAATTTGGGTAGTGGAACATGTGACCAAGCCCCCAAGAGGGACACTAAACTGGAACCAGCTCACACCCACGGGGAGGCTTATTCCCAGTGCGGGTGTCAGTCAAGATCATCCCACCAGGAGGTCTCTGTTCCTTACCTTCAGCTACCTCCCTCACACCCACCCTGCCTCTCCGTTCCCCCTCCTCCTTTTCTTTCTTGCCACCTGCCAGAGTTCAGCTGGCTAACCCATTCTCTGCCTTAAGCGTCCGGCCCGGGGCTCACGGCATGAGGGCCAAGGAGAGCGTGCACACTGCACCCTCGGTGCTCTCCTAGAGAGGCTTTGGGGGAGTGGGTGGCAGGTGAACACAGCCGAGTGGGAAGCGTTGAGTGTTTGCAGCCTAACTCTCCCAAGGTCTTCTTCCTGCCGAATCCACCTGTCCCGGGGTCAGGGATGCGGGAAGGTCCAGAGCTGGACGTTTCCAACTTTTCTGTTGCCAGGACCAGGCGGGACGCGCGATATGGGTAAGGGATTACCTACTCCTCTCCAAAGAACCGCAGAGAGGCCAGGAAGAAAAACTGGGGGGTGAGGTGAGATAGTGCCCAGAAGCTTGCACAGATCCCGATGGCACGCGGGTACCCGGCCCGCTCTTCAAGAGAAGAGTGAAGTTGAGGCTAAGTGGGAAGTAGGGGAGAGCGGGTCCGGACACACGGCGCAGAAAACCTGAAAGTCCCGGCAACGCAAGGGAGGAGACGAACAAAGTGACTTCCTAAAGCCTGTCAGGTCAGCTGCTCCAGCAGCCCAAAGTGCAGCAGGAGCCGGGGTCTCGTCTAAGTATCTTGGGAGCCGCCCAACTGCCGCCGCCTCACCCAGGGGTCCCGCTGCCGCCGTCGCCGCGGGGGGTCTTGGCCTCAGCGCTCAAGAAGCACCGCCTCCCGCAGCAGCCCTTTGACAAAGAGCCTTCCCACCACTGGTAGTGCGGGCTCTCCTATCCTCTGGAACTTTCTCTGCACAACTTTTTCGGGTTGGCGCTCGTTACTAGTCTGCGCGGACTCGGGCACGCGGACCTGGCCTGGGCGCAGTGCCGGCGCGACAGACGCACGCAGTGGACGATCCCGGAATCCGCGTCCTGCCGGGCGACACCGCCCCTCTGCCTACCTTCCCCACGAAGGGACGCGTCAGCCGGCCCGGACGCTGGTGGGCCTTGCAATGTGCAGAGTATGTGTGCCCGCGCGCTCCCGCCCCACCTCCCACCGGTGCGCCCAGCGCGTCCAACCCCGGCCGGCAACCACCACGCGCTGGCCGCTTCCCGCTGCTTCTCTAAGAGCCATCCCTCTGCCGGCTCTGCCTCCATCCCGTATCCACTTCCGCACCCAAGAACCACAAGCAGAAAGGTTCAGTGCAACTCAAGGACTGGGAAGAAGCAACTAGCGTAGTTCCTCTTTCCAAAAAGCGCCCCCAGAACTCCCGAGAGGCCAGCAACACCTCCCCACAACTTTCCACGCCCAGGCCATTCGTAGCCCACCTGCGAACGCGAAGTAGGGAAGTGCGCCCCGCCAACCTCTTGCCCTTCGACTGGGTGCGCTCCCCTCCCCCAGATCTCTCTCTGGCTGGAGTTGTCAGGACCCTGGGAGCCTTGGTGCCCGTGGAGCCTCAGTGCCCGCGGGCTCGCTTACCTCGCATGGTGTGGCCGCTCTCCTGCTCCGCGTAGTCATGAAGCTGCTCCCAGCCCAGACCCTGGAGAACCCAAAAATCCCGCTCAGCACGAGTGAAGAAGGTGGTCGGCGAAGAGCTGCTCTGCTGAGGAAACCATCCCTTTACGCGGACGCCGTGGCCGGAGGGTGACGTTTGCCGCCGCCGCCGCTGCTATGTTAACAGTTTTGATGGTGGTGGTGATGACTGTTTTGATGGTTGTTTGGTTGTTTGTTTGTATTCAGGAAGGGTAAAAAAAAAAAAAAAAATGTGCTGGCTGGCTGATGCCTGGGTTTTGTTTTGCTTTTGTTTTTCTTTCTCTCCAATGTGCTTGCTTTTTAAAAATGCCACGGCCTCCGGCTCAGAAGATTTCTTTTGTGATCACTTGGGCTGAGGAGGAGGAGGAAGGGCAGCAGCAGCAGGAGGAGTTGGTGGTGGTTTTGTTAGTTACAAAGAAGAGGGAGAAGGAGCAAAGGGAAAAAAGCGGAATCAGAAAGAAAAGAAAGGCAGTGTGGATGGCAGAGCATGTGCGTTTTCACATGACATCTGTGCCTGTTAGGGGATCCACAATATGAATTTTCACTGTTCAGTTACAGGGAGGAAGGGAGCGAGAGAGAAAGAGAGGAGAGAGATGCAAAGAGAGAGCCGAGAAGGGGTTTATACGCGGGGGCGGGTTTGGCCGGGACTTCCAGGCCCCGCCTCCTGTCAGCGCCACCGCCAATCAGAGCCCGGTAGCGCTTGGAAAGGTTGGGACCGCGGGGGAGGGGACCAGATTGGAGGCGAGAGGCGGGGGTTAGGGACACTGGAGCTGAAGGCGGCCGGGGCTGGAAATGGGTATCAGAGACTGTCCTAACTGTGCAGAGGACGGGAAGGACCGACAGAGAGAGCCGGGAAGATGTGACACGATTCAAGGAGTGGGGAGAGGACCCTGACCAATCAGTCCTGCAAAGGCAAGAGACGCGGGGCTCTCAGGGTCCCACGTCTTGCGTCCCTTTTTGGCAAAGCCTGTGGGCCCCAGATAGTTACTTTTGAGTTTATGGTAGCGCTTTGTACAGTCCTTTTTCGGCGAGCTCCATAAGTCTGGCGGGAGTCTCCCTGGGCAGGACGCTTCAGTTTCAGTGGTAGAATAATACAAATCAACTTCCGTTACTTTGAACTTATCCAAAATGCAGTTCCATGCCAAGTACCAGTCTGCTTCCTTTAAAATCATTTCTTCAGATACTTCCTGATCCCAAACCTAAAAACAAACAATAACAAACACTGAGATCTCTTCTGTTTTTTAAGATTATTTAAGAAATTTTAATGCTTTCTTTTGTCAAAGAAATATTTATTAGCATTTGGACAATCTCCTGATGTTGGGCTCTATCACTCAAAAATAGTAGCTCCAACCGCCAGTGTGGCTACCTTGGTTATTAGGCAAAGGGCTGAGGCCAGAACATATGAGTACTGGTGCTGTTTATTTGATCAAGATGCAAGGGGAAGGAGGAACTGTGAATTTTAGTTGCTCCGAGAAGACTTTTACCAATTTAGAGGAGATTGGCAATTAAATGTAGGTGAAGTTATTTGTATTCTTTAGGTGAAAATTGTTACTTATAGCCATTTATTTGTATTTTTGATAAAAATACAATGCATAGATCAAAACTGTTTCATTTGCAAATTTTTCCCTCTCATTGGGCAAAACAAGCATGTCGTACAGATGATCATATCTTCTTTCAACAGTTGGAAACTATAAAGACATTGGTTAATTGGTCACCTTAAAAGACAGGTAAAAATATTTGCCTCATGGACTCAGTGTTATGGAATTGAGGCTTATACTAATTAATGTACATTTTGGCACAGTAGGCCTCATCATCATTTAGGTACCCGAATAATTTTTTTACTGGTATTTATTCATATTATGTCATGTAACTCAAAATGCAATGAAGAATTGGTGATTATTTAGTTAATTAGTTTACTCTGCACTGCCAAGTAGTCCTTCCCCCTACCGCCCATTAAATAAAAAATAGATCACCCACTGAATCTTCACTGGTGTTAAATTGACTTAGCCTTACTGTATGCCCTTTCATTTTCAAGCCAATGTGTAATTTAGAAAAAATTTAGTGTTAAGAATGAAAGTCGAGGCCCTGGCTTGGCTCAGTTGGTTAGTGATCATCCAGATATGCCAGGGTTGTGGGTTCCATCCCCAGTCAGGGCACATACAAGAATCAATTAATGAATGCATAAGTAAGAGGAAAAGCAAATTGATATTTCTCTTTCTCTCCCTCCCTCTCTCTATAAAATCAATAAAAAAATGAAAGAAAGTTGATTGAGTCTTTAATTAAATGAAATGAACAAAAGGAAGTTATTGTTCAGAATAGTTATTCTCTTATAAATACCTTTCCCCTAGATTTGTAATTGACACAGTAGTTAATCTTTTAAGATAATATTTAAGGCTCCCTGGTTTTGTCATTTTTAATCAAGTAAAATAGATTCATCATAACTACATTAAAGCTGTACTAAGTTATGCCTAATTTGGTTGCTTCATTAAAAATTACTGAATATAAAACAGTTAAGAAACAATTTGTGACTGCATCATTTCAATTTTATGTGTTTCTAGCAGAGACCCAGGCATACTGAAAATTCCAAAGCCTTTGTAAACAGTATAATTATTATTGTTGTCATTATTTTATATTTCTATTTCTCATTGAAGAATTTACAAATTTAAAAATTTTTAACTCTAATTGTCTTAAATATCTAAACATTCATTGAATTCTAAAATTTCTTTTTATTGCTGCTATAGCTATAATTCTTAAAATGTCAACACATATGAAAAGTATGTTTTTCTTCTTCTAAACATTTTTATATGTCTTTTGCTTTCTGGGTTCTACAATGCATAATTTTGCTTAGAGCTATGTCACATATCACATATCTCCTAATCTCCTTACTTTTGAAAAAATTTAATTAGAAATAAAGACAATTATGTTTTATCATTTTTCAAAGGTGCATATATGATGTTATATATATGGTGGTACAAAGTATTTATTTTCTCTTTTAGAGTAAATAAGTGTTGATCATTGATTATAATGCAGCGACCTGGGACTTCTTGGATCCCCCTCAAAATTAAAATCTGAGTCCTTGAACATTTCCAATAACTTCCAAATTATTTAAACTGCATGGAGTAAAAAACTTACATAAAATAAATATTCAGGATTTAAATTAAAGAAATCAACTTGAAGTCATAAAATACTTAGGAATAATTTATTGTTGTCTTTGTAACCTCTCTGCCAGGAAACATCCATATTTCAAGTGGCATTATAATAACATATTAATATAATGTCTCGTTCACGTGAGTACGGTGTCAGCAATTTCATTTGAATGATTATGGAACTGTTTGGTTTCCTGTAAGCTTGAAGCTCTCCTTTTGGCTCTGGGCATGAAGGATGTTCTAAGTTGATAACTAAATTCTGACAAATTAAAATGGAAATCATTAAGTCACATAGCACTGTACTTAATCTCAAAAATGATATAAAATCACTTTGGCTTGCCTGCCTACCTGCTCTCCCCACATATCACCATCACTCATGTTTAACTGTAAGGCCATAGAGTAATAATGACAAGAAATAGTCTATAGACACAAAGGTTTAATATGAACCAGTCAGTTAAGGTGATGAAGGCATTTAGGATTATTTCAACCCTAAGGTGTTTGAACCAAAATAAGGAGAAATGACTCACTATATTCTAATCTGTTCAGTCTGTATATAAAGACCATTTGAAATAGTTTTGAATCTTGGCGGCACAGTGGCAATACTGATAACAATATTACATTTAGAATGATTACAAGATTGGGTGTTTTTAGCCCAGGTTATGGACCTGTGGGGTTGTGAAAGTTGAAAAAGTGGTATAAAGCTGCCTTAAATATTTGGAAGAACAGAAAAATATGAGAACTTTTAACATTGAAACTTACTAAAAATGAAGAGACTGAAGTAGTGAGCTCCCTGTTGCTGAAGGCATCCAAGAAAAGGTGGAATGAAAGACAAGTATACAGATTTTTTTATTAGGCTCCACAATCTCTAGATTACCTCCAATATGTTCTGTAATTCTAAGTATATTCACATGTAGGCCTCTGCCACTACCTCAGTAGCTGTGACAGAGCTAATGCTTTATACCTCAGAATGCAGGCTTCATGAGAGCAGCAGCCAGGACTTCTCTAGAGTCTGGAAGAATTTCTGGTACTTTATACTTGCTCAGTAATTATTGGTTGGTTGAATGCTCCCCACTCTTTTGTCTACTGAATATGAATCAGAAATATAGCAAGGACCTGAATAAGGTCTCTTCTTTCTGAGCTACTAGTGCATGGAGAGAGAAGGAAAAGGAAAGAGAGAGGAAAAGAATATATGCATATATATTTTTTCATTATTAAGTCTTCTAATTTGGGGAAGAGAAAAATATTTGAGACTGGTTACATAATTATAAATGAAAGTGAAATCTAGTTATTTTCATATTTATTACTATTCTTAATTTATTCCCAGATGAAGAGTCTTTATATCTTTTAGTAGTTTAAGTTCTGCTTAATTTTGAAGTATTGATGCAAATTCAGCAAATTTTCAGAATGAAAAAAGAGAACAAATACTAAAAATGTGGAGCTTGTGCTTTATGTAATAAATTGGAAGGGAGGTTATGGCCAAAACAAATGAACCCCAATACGTGGGTTAGGAGGTGAGTAAGGCAGGCTTTATGAAAGGACAGCATATACGTGTCAGGAAGAAAATGAGCTAACATATATTGGATGAATCACATGAACTATCAACCTATTTAATTACTGTTTCTTGAAAGAGAGCAATGGGAGGAAATTGGAACAACTGTAATAGAACAACAATAAAATTTAAAAAATTAAAAAAAATAAACATTTGACATAATTCATGGGGAAAAAAAGAAAGGGCCTACGTGGTATATAAATAAATCTCATACCCTCCTTTCCCCCACCTTTTTTTCCTTTTTTTTAAACAGATAAAGGAACAGAGGCTTGGAAAGGTTAAG